AGTCCAGATATAGCACACACATATATGGTCATTTTATTTATGATAAAGTGCCATTATAAAGCTGTAGGGAAATGATTTTATTTTCAATAAATAATATATCAATTCGTTATACATATGGCCACAAATGAATCTTGATACCTACTTGCAGGATACCTCAAAATATATTCCAGGTAGATGATAAGTCTAAATAATAAAATTATAAATCTTTTGTCAGATAACAAAGAAGTATATTTCATGACCTTGTAATACACAAAAATTTCTTAAACAGGATACACAAAGCCACATCCAGAAATGACAATTTTAATAAACTGAACTTTGTTAAAATTGTGAATTTTCTGTTCACCAATAGATATGATTAAGAAAGTAAAAATATTCATCAAAAAGTGGGGGGGAAATGAATACAGGTCTCTAAAAGGACTCATACCTATAAACCAATAGGAAAAATAACAATAACCCAATTTTTTAAATGGTAAAAAAGTTGTAGATTTACTGCATAAAAGAAGACTCCAAATGAGCAATAAGCACATGAAAAGGTGTTCAAATCCATTAGTCATCTGACAATTGCAAATAAGAGTCACAAGGTATTCCTACACACCCATCAGTACAGTAAGACTTTTTCAAAAGGAAATTTGGCATTGTAACTGTTGATTAGGAAGTGGAACAACTAGAACTCTCTAGCATTATTGGTAGGAGAATATGTTGGTACAACCACTTTGGAAAACTGCTTATCAGTATCTACTAAAGCTGCTTATATGTGTATTTTATTACCCAGTGATTCTACTTCTGCATGTATACCCAGAATGAATGTTTACATTTATGCGTAATATTGGTTGTATAAGAAAGCTCATTGCAGCCTATCAGTAGTTCATAATATTAAAAAAAAAAACCTGCATATAATGTAAATGCCCATGAATACTGAACATATAAGTGGTGGGTAAATAAATTGTGATATATTCATTCAATGAAATACTATAAACAACAAATGGAAAAGAGTGAACTATTATAACATGCTATTGTAGGCTTATAACAATGGTTTATTTGTTTAACATTTGTTCTAGATGTTCATTGCAGGTTGGCTCGCGTTCTGCTTACTCTCATCAGCAATCCAGTAACCATCTGGCTAGAGCAGACTGCATCTAGAACATAACCAATTTGGGGGCAAAATTGGAAAAAGATATAGTGAGACACACAACTGGCTCTTGAAATTTATATCTGGAAGTAACATGTTACTTCTACCAATAATGGCCAAATTAAGTGATAAGACCACTCTTGAGTTCAGTAACACAGAGATGTATTGTAAGTCCAATGAGAGCAGCATACCAAGAAGAGACTCACGATATTTAGGCAACAGTTATCTAATGTACCATGGAGGTTGAGAAAGTCATTATTCAACTTCTGTCACGGGCAAATGGAATCATGTTGAATGTGTGTCTGGTTCCCTAGAGATAGAGACTGAAAGAGAATTTCAAAGGTACATGATTTACAGAGAGTCAGGGAAAGTCCTGGAAAGGCACAAGGGCAGCAAGATAGACAGGGAAAGAACTAAAATGTTTAAGCCTGTATGTAGTAAGGCACATCTGGCTTTATTATTTCCATTAATATTGTGTGTGTGTGCGTGTGTGTCTGTGTGTGTGTTTGAAAGAGAGAGACATTTTTTAAAGATTTTTTTATTTATGCATACATGAACTGGGGTACAGGCAAGAGGTGTGGGGGGTGAGAGGATTCACCAGAGACAGAGTGGGGAACAGAACAGGCAGATGTACTGAAATACACTGTTCAGGGGAACAGCAGGCAAGTCAGGAGAGGTCTGCTGAGCCATGTGGGTAGTTCCCTGCTTGGGGATTGCACTTGTGCTGCAGTGGCTGCTGATAGCTTCATAGGTTTTGTCTTAACCCCTTGTGCCACCAGGGAGGCCTGAGAGAGACTTTTAAGATGTTGTGTGATTGCTTTGAGCACCAGTGGGCTTCTCTAGAATCTATTCATAAACAACTTATTTGCATAGATCTTGAGTTTACTTTTACCCAAAGGCAATCTTCAGATTTACTGCAGAAGCCGCTATTTTTTCTTTACTGGCATTGCTAAAACCACACAGAATGCTACCAGAGCATCTCATTTGTGTTTTACTGCTTTATGGAATCAATGACGTTCTACAACTTTATGTGATTCACCAGTTGCCTGTTAGAAGCTACGGGGTTCTTTTGGTGGGCAAAGCCAGGAATTGGATGAACACAGTTTTGTGATAGGTATTTTACCAATTCAAAATTGGTCCCTGATGGATTGAGTTTTTTCTGTTATGTCTGTTCTAGAGCATATTAAACTGAGTGTGTTAAAAGTTTCCATTACAGTGCTTTCATGTCAGCATGTTCCTCTTGGTTTTCCTCAATGGGATGACTTGTTCTAGACTGCTAATCATGGTCTTTCATATCTCCAGTAAACTGCTTTTCTGCACATCCTCATTATATGAATAAAAGTAAGTTTTGGCAGAAAGTAAGTGATTTGTTTTCATTCTATAATAAAAATTTTGCCATATTATGACAAACAGTATGAACACAAGTGCATCAGTAAAAACTGAGTTGCACACACAGTCTTGCTTCTGTGATGGTATAGTGAAGACACCAGCTCAATAGTTTGCAACTCTTTCCAACTCCCTTTGGCTGTAGTGTTTTGGCAACATATTCACACCACATAAGGAGATTTTATAAAGTATCAGTGCCTGAACACCAACTGGATGATGAGGGAGAAACAGGGATAGTATTCTATACTTCTAGTGTACCTTCCTGCCATTACCAAGGTAGAAACTAGAACCTGTATATCTCCAACTCTCTTGAAGCCATAGTGAAAGTGCAATTTTATGTCTGTAAATCAGAAGGGTTTAAGTAAGACTAAAATTTGAAACTGAGGCTAGAAGCAAGGCAGCAAGCATTTATTTGCTATTGTGGACATTGGCACAGGTGTGGCTCTGGAGCCTATAGTTAATGATTCCTTGAGATCCAGTCGTTAGCTATTTGGTTGCAACTATTAATATCTACCCCCCACCAACAATGCACAAGGTCTCCTATATCTCCAATGTTGAGCTTTTAATTTTTTGCTATTCTAACAGTTATAATGTAATTTAAAAGAGCTGTTTCAGTGGACTCTTATCTGATGACAAAAGATTCTCAACAGTTTTTCATGTGTTTTACTGTGTCCCCTTTATTGTAAATTGTTTCTTCACACCATTTGCCTGTTATTCCTTGGGGTTTCTATCTCCACTTTGTTATTCTCAACAGCACCTAATATATTCTACTTATTAATACCCTGTCAATTTAACATTGAAAAGATTTCTCATTCAGATATTCATCTATTGTCAATTGTGGCTGAATAGATGTTGACAGTAATGAATGTTCCACAGAATACACACAACTGTATAAAAGTTCCTAGACACATGAGGTATCACAAAGATCAGAATTTCACACTGATCTGGGAGAGTTATTTATCTTTTGTGTGAAAAAAATATTTTTTGAAACTAACAAGTCCTTATATAACAATGACATGTAACAGTACTATTCTAAGCTTTACATATACCGACCCTTTATACCTACTTTAATTTTAAAGATGAGGAAGAAGACCAGAAAGGCTCAGAGAAGACCAGAGTTGCTTAGTGAGTGACTGAACTGGAAGTCAAATACAGAAACTTGGACTTTTCAATCTGTTCTGTTACCCATTATGTTGTACTACCTTTTAGCAATGTCTATATTCTTTAAGTCACTATATTTGGGATTACTTTGTTGCAACAACTTAGTGTGTCATTAAAAATACAGAAATTTGAATCTGGAACTGGGATTCTAAAAGTAACCTTAAATATATGGTTAACTAGAGTTAAGGAAATGGAATTGAAATCTGGAGACCCTGGTAAAGCCATTACAAAATAGTTAATGAAATTTTTTCCTGCGGTTGCTTGTAAGGTCAACCATTTACTGGAGAGCCACCAGAATGTTGGTGAGTGTTTGTTGTTCCTTCATGTTTTGTTGAATAAGAAAATGATGTGCCAAAGGAGGACCTAATAGCCAACAAGTAGAAGGCTAAAGAGAATTTCTACATTGGATTCTGTGCTCCAACAGTAGGAGACTAGCTTGTTACAGCTGATAGCCATTCCCAAATGCCTCCAATCAGGAGAGTCAAGGTGCCGAGTGTTATGGGTCAGATTAGTGATGACCTCTCCTTTTACCCATTCATTCAGATGTCCTGAAAAGAGATAGCATTTAAATGACAGAGAGAGAAATGGGTAGATGTGGAAACCAGGAAGTAAAGCAGGTTTAAAAAAAAATGCTCCAAAAGAGAAACCTGGATGTTGTTGGCTCATGGTATTGACTGCAAACAAACAGAACCAGAAGTCTATCAGATTTCTAACATATTTACATTTCAAAGCAACTAAAAGCCTGTCTTGAAAATGTCTGTAGTCTTTCCAATCTACACCTGTAGGAAGCAGGCTACTAAAGTTACATAGTTTTTCCAAAAGTCACCTCAGCTGTGACCTTAAAGCATAATGGACAACACAGGGCAAAATGTGGAATCCTGCAGGACGTGGGAAAGTGCACCCCTGCCAAGGCTGGGAACCTTCTCGATTCCTCTCCAAAGGAATAATCTCATTACTCATGGACCAGTGACTGACTACTGAGTGTATTCCATTCTTCCTTTCTTTTACTGAGTATTTATTGTGACTATTCATCTTATACTTAGTCATTGTAACTTGGATGCATTGGGGGGCAAGTAATTTTATTTACCATCCCCAAAAGAGGGAAAAAAACATTAGGGTTGCAAGACAAAAAAAAAAAATTGAGAGGTTTGGCTTCTTGTTGGACTGTTACTAACTTGACTTGCAATTTGGTGGATATTATGTAATGTCTCGGCTTCTACTTAGGAAAAGCCAGGCACACTTTTGTTGGTAGTTGTTATTTACTTACAGTTCCATTTATCATACAATCAGGGGTTGGTCTCTACCCAGCATGCAGACTTTTTGGACTATCTGGAGTCTAGAGCTCACAATACAGAGTTTTATGAAATATGGTGCCTATGAGAAGTTTGTTCTGGTACAGAGAAGCTACAGTGCTGCCCTGAAGCACAGAGCCATTATTGGCATACAGGGTGTTGATCTTGGGATGCTTAGACAAAACCTTCTGGATGCGAAGTACCTGGTGAGAAAAGATCATTCGTTAGTACGCTATCTGACCAGTTGTTCACATCATGTGTTCCTTCCAAAATGCTTAAGACTAATATATTTCTCAGAAATCAATAAGCTAAAATCTATATATCTTTAATCTTGGTTTTCTTGTGATGAAAGCACTAATGTCTTAAGGATATATAAGTAGTCAGGTGGACTAGTTATCTTAGATTAGCTAAATTCCTTTATTAGTTTGGGCATCACCTATGGAGGGAAATAAGAACCAGTGTATGCTCTTATATTCTTGAGCAGTGTTTCTCCCTCTGTGGGAAAGGCCTTACCCTTGTCTGGGCCTACAGCCTGGGGAGGGAAACCAAGGAAGAAATGATGAAGGGACAGTCCTTTAGCCAGTCAACCTGACCTGGTAACCAGTAGGATAATAATCGTTAAATTTGGAATAGACCTCCGCCCCCCAACCCAAGTAAAATGACTAGGAAGCATAATAATGCATACTTTGGCATTCAATCTGACATTTCAATTCCTAATACTGTTATTGATCTCCAGGATTAGCGTAACTTTACTTTGATAATTAGTAAATATATAAGCACTCTGTTTTCCAAATAGCCTGCATGAAGTTTACTCAAACAGAACATAAGAGAAACTAAAGAAAAATCTATTTGAAATTCATGAGTCATGGGTCCATATTGACATCTCTTGTTAGAATAGAATTTAGTTGAGTTTCTTTTTTTTGATCTTAAGGGAGACCCTTAGACTTCTTCTCAGGTTTGTTATAAAAAAATGCTCACACTTGGATCTCACATAGAAAACATTAGACTCAGCCAAAAGTAAAGAGTGTTGGTGATTGTGAAGAAAGAACTCAATTCCAAAATAAACAAATGATTAAACTTGAAGATGGAGACAGGAGAAGGATCCTAAGCAATTTTCAAATCAGTGTGTGGACTATATTTTCATGCTCTGAAAGCAAACACGGTTGTTGGGCATATGCAGATGTTAAATCTATCGTTTCTGGAAGCACTTATCTGCCAAGGGCAGCCTGCTAGCTTAAAGTAGCAATTCCTTAATTTCAAGGTTCATAATGAACTTTTTGTTTCTTTTACATTTTTTAGTGTTTTTAAGTATGTATGTATGAATGGTATGTGTGTGCATATTTAAGGTGACACTTGACTTATTTTTTTATTATTTTATTATTTCTGAAGAAAACAACAAAAATAAACAAAGCAACAACAAAATGCCCACCACCATGCTTTATTCCCTGCTTCAACCTTTCCTTAACCCCTTCATCTCTGCTAACCTTAGTTTGGTTATCAATGTTCACTAGCTTATTTTTGTTTTGCTTTAATCATTCACTTTGATTTAGTACCCAGAAGTTGGAGCCTGTGATATTTCTATTTTTATTTTTTTAAGAAAGGCCCAGGCAGCTTTCCAAAATGGATTAATGCATCAATTTGCATTCTCATCAACACTGTATTTTTCTCCACATCCTCTCCAACACTTCTTGTTAGGAGTCTTTTTGATGTATGCCATTCCCACAGATGTGAGAATTGTGGTTTTGATTTGCATTTCCTTATTAGAAATGATGATTATTTTTTGATATGTTTTGGTCATCTGTACAGCTTCTTTGGAAAAGTGTCTATTCAGATATTCTGCCCATTTATTAACTGGGCTGATTTTTGTTGTTAAGTTGGATGAGTTCTTCATATATCTTAGATACTAATCCCTGGTGAATTTTTTTAAAGAAACTATGACTAAAATTTTGTTATTAAGAGAAAAGTGTTATGTTTTTTTAACTATATAAGACCAATATTGGGGGCCTCCCTGGTGGCACAGTGGTTGAGTGCTGGGTTGCGAAGCTGCCCACAGCCTCTGTAGCGCGATTCGATCCCCGGCCACTGGGCAAGGGTCCCACATGGCGTGCAGACCTCTCCTGCCACCCACTGCTCCCCTCAGCAGTGTACTTCATCCATCAGTCTGCCTGCTCTACTCTCCCCTCTGGCTCTGTTGAATTCTCTCACCCTCCCACACTTCTGACTGTACCCAGTGCTTGTATAAATAAAATAAATAAATAAATCTTTAAAAAAAAAAAGACCAATATTGGAAGAAAAAAATAACTGTACTAATTTACCGGACTAATTACCAGACTAGGGCTTGAATTTCAAAATTCCCAGTTGCCCAAATCTAGATTCAAACATTTTGTCTTTTTTCAAATATTACCTTTTCAATGAGTCTTTGCTGATCTCTGTATTTAATAGTAGAACCTGTCCATCCCCCTGTTCATCACATTCTTGGTCCCCTTTAAACTGCTGTATTTTTCCCCCTCAATAGAACTTACACCTTCAAATTACTATATATATATATATTTTTTTTAAGATTTATTTATTTATTTATACAAGAACCAGGGTACAGGCCAGATGCGTGGGCAGGTGAGAGCATTCACCAGAGACAGAGCAGGAAACAGAACAGGCAGACTGACGAAATACACTCTGAGGGGAGCAGCGGGCGTGACAGGAGAGGTCTGCTGTGCCATGTAGGACCCTTGCCGGATGGCTGAAATCGAACCGGTGCTGCAGAGGCTGTAGACAGCCTCATAGCGTGGTGTTCAACCACCTGCGCCACCAGGGGAGGCCCAACTATATATTTACTTATTTCTTATACCTTTTGTCCATCGTCTGTCCCTCCTCATTAAGAGCAGAGATCTTTGTGGGGTTTGTTTTCCAATATATCTTAAGCACTAGAAAAAAGTCTGGTACATTGTTAAGTGCTCAATACATTTTTGTGGAAAAATCTCTCATGTATACCAAGAATTTATATATACATTTGAATTTAGTAGAGATCATTTTATTTTTAAACCCAATGTCATAGAAAATGCAACACCTTATACTATTGTTTTTAATATTATATAAAATTCAATGAATTGTTATTTTCTTAGAAGAGATTTTTGAATAACATCTTTAAAATGAGACATTCTTAGCATCACCACATATATTAGAATCTGTAAGTAGAAACTAACTTTGCCTCAAAATTACAGTAATTCAGGCCCTTTTACATGAGTTTCATCTTGCATTATGAGGAAAAAGATGGTTTCATGCATGATTCTCCATTTGCCTAACTATAGGGTCTGCTCAGAGCCTACATCGATCTGGGTCAGTATGAATGATCAAGCTGATTTTCCCATTATTCCCAATAATAAGTACAGTCTTTGAAAAGTTTTTATGTCATCTAGTGCTGATGTGAAGTTGGCATCTGGTGGCCTGGGAGGGATAACAGTCCATCTTTCCCTATCCTGCCAAACTATCTGCTCCTTCCATGTGTAGAATTTGTGCACTTCTAGAATATGCAATGTGACCTGCTAAATTTTCCTAAGTGACTTCAATCAGTTGTTCGTGCAGCGTTACCTGTGAGCTGAGAAAATAATAGGAACTTACTTCTGACCCTGGAGGATCCTCAGGGTTATAGCTCAGAAGTTTCATGGCATTAGGATGGCATCCAGCCAAAATATCTCCCGTGACACGATCAACAGTTAAGTTATCCACTAAAGTGCTTAACTGTATTACCTGCCAACAAAGGGATAGTAGTGAAGACATTGTTTCAAAGTTCTTCCCTCTTTTTCCCTCCCACCAACTACTTCTGGTTTCTGAAATTGGCCTTTATAAGGGGTTTTCCTAACAAATTTTAGAAGTGCAAACATAGTCTATTGACATTATTTTAAAATAGCCATGTTTCCTTCATTCAGGAACAAATTCCTAGGTCAAGTGTAGAAACCAATGTAAGAGGTCATGCTGTGCAGGCAGTATAGAACACTTTACCTTCAGTGGAGTTAAATCCCAGTTATCATGTTTCTTCATTACATGAATGTTATGAGCCATTACATCTGCTACATAGATATACCTTTGAAGTAAATAACATTTTCATTTAAACAAGTAGTGTGGAGACAATGCTAACTATTATTTTCAAGAAGAGGCATAAAAATTCATAGTAGTTGAAAGTACTACAGCAATGTCTTTCAAAAGCACAGTACCAGGAGAAAATAGAGTAGAATTTTTAATATTATTGAATTGCTTCAAATAAGCTTTGCATATGAGATATGACGATAAAGTAATGAAATTGGTGTTTCTAGATGACATATAGCCTCTGTCTCATTACTTAGGAGTCATGATTTATTTATTTATTTAATTTAAATTGAATCGAGGTAAGTAAATCTCTTATAAAGCCAAAAGAGTCTATTCTTTCAAAAACTAGTGCTTGAAAAGAACTATCAGATGACCATGAAGCTCGATTGCAATCATTTTTTTAAAGACAAAGGGCACTTAAGAGTTGTTTTCCGCAGGGATAATCTCTACTTATCACTCTAGATTTACATATTAATATTCATGGAACTTTACTTTTTTGAAAATTTTCCATTTTAAGATACTTTAAAAGAGTGTTTCTCATAAAATTTTATGCTGCTTAAAATAGTGTTTTCTCATAGAAAAGTCTACTCTTTAGGATATCAGAAGTCTGAAACTTACATGACTGCAATGCTCAATTGAAATTGGGTCTCTCCTCTTATAAGAACTTGGTGTAAATGGTTAAAGATTTTCTAGCTTTATTAGGGATAGAGGTTTTACACATTTCTTTTTAATGTGGTAGATAAATGAGTTTTTGGAATCATGAAAGAATCTGGAACAAGAATCTTATAAGAATGGGTCCAAATCCTTCATTTTATTGGTGGGAACCTGAAGTGCAAGGGACAAAAGTTTCCCTTAAGACAAATACTGGATGATGTCACTAATATGTGGAATATAGAGAAACCAAGCAAAGAGTCAGATAAAACCAAACTCAAAAACTAACTCTTGAAAGCTGACTGTAGAACCGAGACATTCACAGGAGCGAAGGGCAAGGACAAAGTGGAGAGGGAGCACAATGGACTATGCATGGGTGATTTGGTGGTGGGAACACTAAGGTAACAACACCTGAAAGGGGCAGAGGGGGTCCTCCCCCATGGCACAGTGGATTGAGCACAGCACCGTGAAGCTGTCCTCAGCCTCTGCAGTGCAGGTTCAATTCCTGGCCAGCCTGGGACATACCCACATGGTGTAGCAGACCTCTCCTGTCTTGCCCACTGTTTCCCTCAGCAGTGTTTTTGGCTGCTCCCTGCTCTGTCTGTGGTGAATCCTCTCACCCTCTCACACATCTGGCCTGTACCCCAGTTCTTGTATAAATAAATAAATCTTAAAAAAAAAAAAAGGGCAGAGGGAAGAGCTGTACTTCCAAAATATAAACAATGATGTAAACCAAAGTTACCTCAATAAAAAAATCCAAAAAAAAAAAAATAAGAGAAAAAAATAATAAGAGCAAAAAAAAAAAAATCATAATGTGAAATCTGGTCACACCTGAGCCTTCCTACTTACACCTAAAGAAATAATACCACTTAGGGGAATGTGTTGATTAAACTATCCAGGGCAAAAATTATAGAAGATCTTACTTCTTATCTGGTGACACTGTGATCCCATTGGCAGAACTAAATCCTTTGGCCACCACTTTGACTTCGCTTGGACTGTAGAAAAGAACATAACTCCAATGAAGATCCATAATCACCTCTATCAGCGACAGGAAGAAGTTGGTAAAATAGTGATCTCTGGTGGCATAGAACTGTTCTGGTCCAAGAACTACTATGTCATTCACACTAGAGAGAGAGAGAGAGAGAAAGAGGAACAGAGTAAAAGAGAGAGAGGGAAAGAGTAAGAGAGAGAATTAAAATATGGAATAGTTAAATATCCTGACTGTCGCCAAAAACCATTATATCTCAAAGATCAATGTGTTCATTAATTTGAAAATGTAGACATGTACTACTATGGATTAAAGACTTTCACAGAAGGTACAAGATTTTTCATTGCCCTGATGAATTTTCTTTTAGCCATTTGCTATTTTCTCATTCTTCCCTTTCATAGACGTCAACAAAATCAAATAAATATACAAATAAACCTCACACTCCAAATCTTTGATTTGTAATGTTAATAATGGTTTCTATAGTGGCCATAGTGGAGGTCGCTAAGAGTTCTGCTTCTGCTCCTTCTAGATTAGACTTCTCCATGTCCTTGATGTTGTGTCACAGCCATATGATTTGCTTTGGCCAATGAAATGAAGTGATGGGTGTGGCTTCAGATGGAAGATTTTTTTTATTTCCATAGAAAGTTTATTTACTCTAAACAGCAACACAAACAAATGCCAGATGGAAGATTTTAAGAACAAGTATGTGATGCACCATGTTTTCCTTAAGTAACAAGCAACTTAATGAGAGACAAATTCTTCACTGTAAGTTATAGTCTGAAACAAGTAACCTAGCCATTAAAAAACTTACTATTTTTTTCTTAATGTCCGTCATTGCAAAACCAAACCCAGCTTTGAATTCAGATGGATCTAGGTTTACACCTGGTTCTGCCACTTACAAGTTATGTAACTTAGTCAATTACTTAATCCAAAACTTCTCTAAGTTTCAGTTTACTCATGCCTGTAACTAAAGGCCATTATGAAAATTAAATTAGTTTGGCATAGTGCCTGCCACATAGTCAATGCTTAATAAATGTGATTTTTTTAAAACATGTGCTCACAGGCCTTTTCAATTTCTTTTTTAAAGCTCTGATTAAGCAAAGGTATGGCCCGTCTGGAAGTCTGTTATAATACCCTGTGGGTGTGGCTGTCAGGGGACAACCTGCCAGGACAACTTGAAAAGGCTGTGGGTGTAAAAAGAGAGCCCGATACTAGGGATTGAGTTGCTGTGCTAGGGAGGATGGAATTAGAGCTGGGAATCAAATTGAGCACCTTTATAGGATTAAAATGCTTTCAGAAAAGCTGGAGAATATAAGGATATTCAATACTGAATACAGCAATTTCTGGTGAGGTGCTAGGCAATGTCGCCATGGGAACCTTTAGAAAACTTTAGAAAAAATGTTATAAAACAAGTTTAAGAAAGCCTGCTGAACCAAAGAAAACAAAGCACACAGCAGAGGTACACAATAAATAGAAGTGTAAAATACTTTAATTCCATACCTTTTGAGCAGTTCGTGTTTTATGGTTTTCAGATATATGAGAGAACGTGGCTGTTCCTCAAATTTAAATATCTCCACAGTGGAATCCATGTGGGGATGATTCACAACATAAAGATACACAGTATTGTCTACAGTGGAAAAAAGACAACAGTTCCAAGAAGTTTACTTCTATTGCAACTATTATTAGACTTGGTATAGAACTTAAGTCACTTCCAGGGATTTTTCTCATATATCTTGCATATGATCCATCTGATAGGTAAGTAAGGAAAATGCCAGTATATATACTTTACTGAGGAAATTGAGGCTTAGAAGATAAATGATGTGTCAGCAATTTCACCAACTACCAAGTGGAAGACCCAAGCACATGGGTTCCTGCAATGGTCTCTTCATCATCGCCTACATACTTCCCTAGGAGGAAGATACAGAACTACAATGAAGCATAAACACGATGTGGTTTCCCAGGGTGGCCCTTCAACATGAGAAGAAGGGCAAGCAAACAAAGTTTTGCTGAGAATGCTTCCCTGTGAGAAATGCCCACACAAGATCAAGAAATACAAGGGCTGTATAAATATCTTAAAATAAGCAACACTTCCCAGCTAGAGAATGAACTGCTGTCACAAGTCAGCTACCTCAGGTTGCAATAGCACAATTTAGTGAGCCCAGTGGACCTGGAATGTAAATATGAATGCAAGAGAAAACAGACTAGCCAATTCTGAGCATTGCCCATCTCAAGAATGTACACTGATCTATTTTTATGTTGGGATGTGAACTTGTGGGGTAGTAACCTGGCTTCTCAGAGCACTGTCATCTGACTTATCAGGAGCTCTAGGTCAGATGAGTTCTGGACTTTGAAAGGGTCTGACTCCATGCACCTCCCTGGGAACTGCTCTGTGTTCATCTCCTCTGTGCCTTTCCTTTATATGGTTTCCAAGCTCGTGGTGGAGATGCAGAGATGCATCATCCCCGGCCATTAGATGCAGAGATTGTTGATACTCATGGCCCCTGAAGCACACCGGCACCTTTGCGTAAATTAAGGAAAAGTACTTCCTCAAAGATGAACCTTTGGTTTTTAGTCTTACAAAGCTCTGTGCAGGGCCTGGGGCTTCAAAAGCTGAATCCAAGATGAATTCTAACCCCTACCCAGCCCTTCAGCCAGACACACTTGTGGGACACAGCATGACCTTTATTTGTTCTGATTGGCCTTTCTCCTTCTTTAATATTCTACTGAGCCATTGCTTCTGTTTAAGATATGTCCTTTGAGATTATTTTTATTCTCTACTCATTCCATCTCTATTTCTATGTGTAATGTTTTGGTCTTATACATTAGATACATAATGAAGGGAGATGCTAACACATAATTGTCATTCATAATATACTCAGTTTATGCAAGCCTGATTATATGCCTGTGGGTTAATATGTAAACTGGTCCCATCTCAAAAAAGAAACAAAACCAAACTCCATTCCCGAAAACAAAGCAAAAATAGTTCTAATGCCATCCCATGCAATAAAATAGCTTCAAGTTCATCAGATCACTCATTGTACATTCTCCAGCGAAGCACTATGTTCTTGCTTGCATGTCAGACAAAAATGTGGTGCCTTATGCATTGTAAAATTAAACTGGGAATCCTAATTTTACCTAAGTAAATGACACAGGATTAGAAGTAAGACTACCTGGGTTCTAGTTCTGAAACTGCCATTTATTAATTACAGACATAAAGTCACACTTCACTGCATTTTTCTAAAGTCCATTTATCCATCTGTAAAATTGAGAATTCATATTTTTCCTGCCTCTTTCGCAGAGCTCATTCATCTGTTCATTTAATACAAGTTCACAGAATCCCTTCTATATAGCAGATACCATTCTAGGACAGTATCCTACAATTCAGCAGGGAACAGGTCACATAGCTTTCATGGTAATTAACTTTAGAGAAGAAAACGGAGGAAATAATAAGTAAATGAAAGAATACTGGAGTGGGGTGATGCATTCTTCATAGGATTAACAGTTATGCTTAGATCTACAGATGAGAAAGCACTTACTATAGAGCATACTAAAAAGAAGTACATTGAGAATATATATAGTAAGGTTCATACCTTGAAACAAGAGGATGGGAAAACTTCCTTAAGAAGTTGACATTAAGCTGGGCCTTCATGCTAAGCTAGAAGTCACAGAGACATTCTGTGCAGAGGCAATGCAGATGCAAAGACCCTGAGGTATGTGCATTTTATAGAACTAAAATCCAGTGTGGCTGATTCAGAGAATCAGGGGGATAGTGGTGTTCAGTAAGGCTACAGTGAGTGCCCAGATGCCAGAATGTGTAGGGGTAGTACCTAAACTCAGGCCATATTGAGATCTGGAGTTTATCTTTACAGTAATGGGAACAATATGGAGGATTTTGAGAAGGAAGTCACGTGATTTCATTTGCATGAGAAGTGACATATACATATGAAATGGGTTAAGGTGGTATTATAGGGAATTTGCTTTGCAGGAGGCACAGCGTTATCTGGTAAAGACATATTGGGGACTTGGACTGGAATGGTGGTGGTGAGGCTGGACCGAGGTGAACAACTTGTTTGAGGGCTGAATAGGACAGGATGTAGTAATGAGTTGATGGAATGGAGTGGAGAGAAGGGAAGTATCAAAATTGGACCTAGCATTTTATTATAGAAATAAATGAATTATATATGAACATGCTTTGTAAACTCTAACCTAATACAAAATTGTTGGGTACAATTATCTTTTAAAATGGGTCTTGCTATGCAGTACACAGTATATTATAAGAAATCGGTGGCATATTTACCCCACTTAATAAAATATTATTGCAACATTTTAAAAGGTACCCATTTGTTTTAAAATGAGCAAGTCTATAGTGGTACGGACCAAAGATGTTTTGGATACGTTTTGAAACAATTATTAATCTGTCTTTTTTATTCATTAAACACAATCCAGAAAACTTATACTTAACAACACATTGTAACTCCAGTATGCATTTGGAAGAATCAAAACAACATTTGTTTAAAAATGTTAAGTTCCAACACTTCCAATCCTGCTTCCCTTCATGTAATTACTATTAGTGAGGTTTCACTGTTCTTATTTTTCTGCATGCTTTATATGTACCCACACTAGACCTACAATATTTAAGAATTAAATTAGGCTGAAATTAAGAACAATGAATAAGCACAAAATAATATTTGAAATTGTCATTTTAAAGCATTTATATTAATAACTATTTTTTAGAACAGATTTCTTGAGATATAATACATATGCCATAAATTCACACTTAAAAATGTACAGTTTAGTGGTTTCTAGCTAATCACAGAGTTGTGCAACCATACTAACTGGTTCCAGAAGATTTTCCTCACCCCAACACCCCAACAAGAAACCCCACACCCACTAACTGCCAGTCTCTATTCCCACCCCCTTCCAGCCCTTGTGAATCACTAATCTATTTTTTTGTCTTAGGAATTTGCCTATTTTGGACACTTTCTATAAATGGAATGCTGCAATGTGTGGCCTTAGTGTCTGAATTCTTTGCCTTAAGATAATGTATACAAAGTTCATCTGTGTTGTAGCCAAATGACATTCCATTGTATAAATAGCTCTGTTAATGCATTCATTAGTTTATGGAAATTTGAGTTATTTTCACTTAGATATTAGGAATAATGTTTCTATGAACATTTCTGTATATGTGTTGGTATGGACCTATGTTCTCAACTCTCTTAGGTATACACCAAGGAGTAGAGATCCTGGATTATAGAGTACTTATATTTAACATTTTGAGGAACTGCCAAACAGCTTTCCAATCCTGCTAGCAAACTGGGAAGGTTTCAATTTCTCTACATGCTTGCCAACCTTTGTTATTGTCTGTCTTTATTATGCTCATCCAAGTGAGTGTGAAGTAGTACCTCATTGTGGCCTTGATTTGCATTTCTCAAATGACTAAGAGTGTTGAGTATCTTTTCATGTCTTTACCGGCCATTTGTATATCTTTTTGGAGATATTCAAGATCCTTTGTACAATTTTTTAAATTGGGATATTGGTCTTTCTGTCGTTGAGTTGTATGAATTGTTTATATATTTTATATGTAAGCTTCTTATCAGATACATGATTTGTGAGTCTTTTCTCTCATTCTCTAGATTATATTTTTACTTTCTTGATGATGTCGTTGGAAGTTTTAAATATTGACAAAGTATAATTATCTATTATTTTCATTTGTGTTGTGTTTTTTAATGTCACACAATTATTTTCAAAGAGCCTGCAGTTTATACAGTAGATTTCTGAGTCCAATATCCAAACTATTTGTGATGGTCAAGTGAGAAGAAAAAGGGTTAGGATGAAAAGCATGATCACATTTTATTTTTCCTTCTTTAATTGTACTCTTTAAAAATATATTGATGCATGGTTATTATCTTACAAATACACATCCATCATTCTGATAAAATAGCATCTTCCTCACTTCACATTCAATTCAGTAGTTGGGGTGACTGGTTTATATTTCCCTCATTTTCCCTTCATTCTTATGTATTCAGGCTTTACCTTTGTTGATGAAAGTACTAATCCCGTGTGGATTAAATGATGCTTTGTCAAAACCACCACTGATAGGTAGTGCCTGGGCCCTTACATTTTGTTCATTCATATCAATCAAGAAGATTTGTCCTGGTTCATCAGGAGCAAAGCTTGGCATGCCTGGATATTTTAACCCCTGAAAAAAGAGAGAGAGACTGAGAGAGAATGCATACATATACTTATCAAAACGTTTTCATATGGAAGCTAGAATCTCAAAGGCTAACAAAATGTTCAGAGTACTCTATTTCTTTCAGATTTCTGGGATTTTTCACTCTGTCAGCTGTTGTCATTATCCAATATGAGGGACAACTAATGTCATGGAAGCTATTGGGAATGGGAATATGGGAAGAACCTATATTCAGTTGAATGTAGAGAGAAGGGTTAAGCTAAAAAGTGTCATGCAGGAAATTAGGCTGTGTTACTTTGTGTAAGTCCCCTGGCCTGCCTGTGCCTTGGGTTCCTTATACATAGAATGAGTCAACTTATGTACAATTGCTAAGATTCTTTAGTCTTGACATTCTATAATAAGCTTCCTTGAATCAGAGAGAAAGGGTGCACGGTGCATGATTTCATTGTATTGCTCCTATTCTTACATTATGTTATGTGGTGGTAAATAGTATCAACCAAAAATTAACATAGAGTTGACTATTTTTGACCTACTTTGCTCCTATAGGTATGTCTGAAAATTTGGACCTGATTTAATTTCTTCAAGTAGTTCAAAAAGTTCACATTTATAACTTGGACAGTGGCTCTACTGGAAGTACTAGGTATTGATCAGTCAATAATAAACATCCTGATGTACTGGGTCTTTCCTGCATCCCAGGCTGTGGTCTCAAACCCGGGGAGTGGTTTAATCTAGACCAGTTACAAGACTCAACCCACTTTCTTCCTGTATCCCTACCCCATCCTTCTGATATATATCTTATCAATAATATTGTGTCTTTTCATGTACCCTCATTTCCATTTATAGTCAAATTCTTTTATTCCTACCTTCTCTATCTCCTCTCAGCTCTTTCTTTTAAACACACACACACACACTCATAATACAGTTGTTGGTCTTTCCACTGCCTCTGCCCCACTCCTGCATGCCAAGGGAGTCAATCTTCAGCTCTGAACAACCACACCTACATTAAATTTTTCTTAGACTAGTCTCTCTATTCCTAAATCTTATGGAAACCTGACTTCCCCTAGACACCTGGCGCTGCTGAACGAGATGTTGTTCACCTCATTCATCAAATGAGGTCTGGCTCCTACATAGGGGTAGTCTAAGATCAGGTTGAAAAACTCCACCACAATTGTCATCTCACCTTCAACCAAATGCTCAATATTGTTTAGTAATATTTTTGATCATTCTTACCAGTCATCTATTGCATCTCTCCAAGTATCTAGTCTAAATTTCTCTCATTATTTCCCAGAGTATATGCCTTTTTCCTCTTTATTGTCAATGGATTATTTTACCTCCAATTACTCTAACGATTTCATTCAATGTGAATTTCTTGATTCCTCTTGTCTGCTACTGTAATTCTTCAATTTTATCAAAAATCTTCCTTTCTCACTCCCATTAGTGAAGATTGTTCAGGAAGGCAGCTCACAAGCTCACAGCAAATACCTTGGCAATTTGTGGGCATGTGTGGGCACTGCTGGCTAGTAGAAAGACTGGTTGATCTAGAAATGGAAATGACCTAATAGGGAAGTAGGTAAGGGTGAGGTATGGCAAACAATCCTGGTTTAGAGTAATTATCATGATGCATGAAACACTTATAATAAATTACTTCACTGCTCACCTAGTTTTCTGTGTAAGGAATTTGGGTAGGAATTTGTGGCAAATGATTGTAAACAATTCTTTTGATACCATTCACCATTGGAAATGGTGAAAGTCACTTGGAGGTGCAGGCATCTTATTTTCACCCGCAGATTATAGGAATGTGTGGACAGGCGTTGAAGTCTCTACTGTTCTCAGTCACTACTACGTGCATTCCACAAATAGTCAGACACCTGTGTATGCTGGGCAGTGTACTAAGTGCTGAGCATGTAAGGAACACTCTACAGTCCTGGCTTCATGGAGCTGAAATCCAAGGATGAGGCAGCAAACCTAAGAGCCTAAGCTCAGAGAATGCGGGGGACCTGCAGAAAGGCACCTCACCCAGAAGGAGAGTTTAGGAGTTAGCTGGTAACATGGGAAGAAGGGAGTAATCTGGCAGGCAAGGTAAGGAAGCAAACTACAGCTTGGCACCTTGAAATAAACTAAAACTGTCTATTGCACAGAACTTCCCTCTGAATCAGCAGCTTCCGCACATATTCTAGGAATGGCAAGAAAGGGCATTAGAAGAAAGCAAGCACAGGAACTGAATTTACTTCTGTGCAGGAAGATTAAAAATGAGTAAACAACATCATCCTTAGCCTCTGAGTTGTTAGCTTACAAAAAGAGCTCTGTTATTTAAAGCTTTACTGTCACATTTCTCATGGAATTATTTGTGATGAAAATCTGAGTAGTAATAATTCAGTGCTTTTAATTCCAGTGAAAACAGAAAAGAAGAATATAGTACAACTACAAATATCATTTCTGAATAGCAAAGAAATCTTCTAGCTGTAGCATAATCATTTTATAGGTCTTTTTGGTATAACATTAAAAATCTACAGTGGACAATAGAAAGCTTAAGTCAACAAAGAAAGAGCTGTTCTAGATAGCTTTGCTTTATCTTTGGTTTTGGAGGAAAATTAAAGAAATAAAATTCCTCTCACCTACCCAACTCCACACAAACCATCTCCAGCAGCCATTTAAAATCCAAAGGAGACATTGACTATAATGTATATACTTAATAATTTAGAATTTTAGGGCCACTGAGGGTTATTCCATGTGCCTGCTTTTTGGCCAAAAAGATTCAAATTAAAAAAAACATGTTTCATGGTATTTTATTGGCCAAAATGGAATATTAGACATGTAATTACAACAAGCAGAATCACACTGAAAATAGTCAATCAAGTTTTTCAAAATCCTAGACCCCATTTCAAATTGCAACTGATTTAACAAATACATGATAATTTTCAACACCTGTACAACATATACATCTTAATTTCTTGAAATCCAGTGTCCATGCATTCCACCCCCCATAGCGTCCTGATCATCACAAGCCTGGGAAGGCGGTTTTAGGGAATAAAATGCAGGATATCCTTTCTACCTGTCTTGGAAAGAGGTAGAAGGAATGGCAGGGAGCCCAAGATGGAAAGTGATCAGCGTTTTGAATTAAGTGATATGGTTAACATCTTGGTCACAAATATTTACCAAGCTCCAAAAACAGACAGACCTGAAGAGAGGAATACTAGTTAGTGAGAAGATACTACAGAAGCTGAAGCTCAGTCAGACAGAGCAATAATGGGAATGAACAGCAACAGGACAGATCTGGAGATTAGCCTTAGAATCGAAAGGAAATCAATATGCATTTATTGAGACCCTACTGAGGATGTAACTGCCCACAGGGAGCTACCCACCATGGGGCAGGCAAGCCTGTGGTGTCCTGAGTAGCCTTCCAGAATCTTGTTTTTGGCTTTTTTTTTGAGTTGACTGGTTTACCTGCAGGTGGTATAAGTGTGTAGGGGTCCATCTGGCAGATGTAGTCGGTAACATTAATGTACTGTCTATACAGTTATTGACAAGAGCATCTGAGGGGCATAGAAAATACTCACACTAGAGATAAAAGCCAGCCCACTAGGAAGTATATCAATATCTTCAGAGCCATTTTCTGCAAAAGAAGTGGAGGATCAGAAAGTTGCATGTATGAAGGCTTAAAAAATAAATCTCACCATTGAAACTCTAAACTTCCTTTGAAAACTGCATTCACTTTTTCAACTATTTACCTGGGAAACTACATTAACTTTTAGGAATCCCACAAGCATGCTACTCTACAATAAAACCTGAGTCAGATGCCTTAAATATTTAAGTTTCTTTTTAGAGCTCTATTTTTCAGGAGGAAAAGGCAGTGAACAATAAAATAAATTCATGTCCTACATTTATTCTTTAAATAAAAACTTCCAGGCCATGTCCTGAGAGATTCAGCTTTATTCCCCATGGAAGACTGATCACTCGATCGAGCGATAACACTTGGAAAAACATCAGTGGGAACGTCTCTTAAAGGCCTCTCAGTCAAACATTTCTCCTCTTCTACCTTTCTGTTGAGGCCTAAAAATCTATCATTACCCAATCATATTGGGAAATTGAGTAATTGTTCTCTGCTATAAAGATATGGTCTGAATATGGACTATTAAGATATAAGTGAATTTGAGAGTTAAGATTTTTCTGAAGTTGGTCTTGAGCACTTTTCTATGGAAAGAGGTGTATTATAAATTATGACTGGGGACAGAATGCAAAAGTGCCTCATATAGGAGAGAAGTGGTCCCAAGCAGATAGGGCTGAGGGTAAAGGCAATGGTTACTAGTGTGGCAAATTGTATTTTACAGATATTTTGGGATTAATATGTATCACAAAGTCTTCTTAAAATGAAAAGATCATATTCCTCCATCAAGCAACAGTATCTGTATTCTCTTCCCTTGAGCCTGTGGGTCATACAAGGCAAAGCCACAACCATAGCTGCTTCTGGAGCCATGCACCTTGGGAGGTGAGGGGAGGAGGCGAAAGGAAAGGAATGGGAGAGGAGGGGAGCGGAGGGGAGGGGAGAGGAGAGATGAATATGTTGATAGAGTCTCCAGTGACTTTTAGTTCACAGCCTTTTATGCTGCTGCAGGTGGCACAGAGATGCAGCTATCTCCACTGAGTCCTGTCAGAATTACAAATTCATGAGTAAAAAGACTGTTGCCATTTTATGTTACTAAGTTTTGGGATAGTCTATTACTTAGTTATGTAATGTAGTTATGTAAACATGTGGGGAACGTTTTCCTGGGGTAATAGGTTACTTGGTATCAAAACAATTGGGTGGGACAGGGAAGAATGCAGGAAAGTGGGATAAGGCAAAGAAAATGCAAATTTGAACCCACAGATTAATGAAAAATAGACAAAAAATCAGAGAATAGAGATTGAATTATATTCACTCCATTAAATGTTGCAACAAATCCCCAACTAATGACCTGAAAATTAATCAAAATTTTCTAAGCATCCAGGTCAACCAAGATTTGTCTCACAATGGTTATCTTGATGACCTGAAAGATTCAGCATTCTTTGTGTGTGGCATAACATGATGTTCTTCCAGACTCTTTGAACACACTATCTTGGTTTCCTTTCGCCTGAATCTCCACGCCACCAGTGTCCTGACTGTGGATATTCTCCAGCTCTGTCTTCCCTTGGCTCTTTCTCCAGTCGGGCATTCATTCCACGTGCACCATCAACAGGAGTGGGCAATATTCAGAGGTGTTGTGCTTGTCTTGTCTCACCCATAGCACAGGGAAGCTTGTTTTGCATTCAGATGTGGAAAAGAACTACCAGCTGCTGGTACACAATTCCTGCGTCTCCTGAGCCCCTCCCATGCCTACACTGGCTGCACCCGCGGGAGAAAAGCAGCACATCTTTGCAACAGTGGCACCGATGGGAGTAAGAATTCCCAGGACACGCTCCTCTGAGTCCTCCCCACACACACATTAGCCTGTGTACAACTATCATCAATACCCTACAGCTAAGTCTAAAATCAGTCTAATGAATAGGCATCTACTGCTTTTTAACCTGTCAACGCTATTACCGAACATAACTTCATTTCTTTGGCTTCCCATCATTCTCTACAGGCACCCTGAGAAAGGGTCACACCGAAACATTGCTGCCAATATTATCATCATTTCACATCTTGGAGAGAAGGTTCTGACAGCCAGATAAGAAAACAAATGGAACCTATTATGAATTAGAAACATGTTTTATAAGCTACAAGAAGGGACAGAGAAAAGAGGAGAGACATAGAGACACCAAGTAGATGGTTGTCTGCTTAGGATCCTGCCCAGGGAAAACCTAATCAAGACAGTCATATTTCAAGTGCAGCTTTAAATAGATGGCAAAGGTAGCCAAGTAACTTCAAGGTTAAAATAATCCTTGACTCACAAAACCTGGGAAAAGAGATTGGCTTAATACACAAAGATCTATGTGGTACAATTTCTAAAGTCTAGCACTGCTTCATCCTTCAAATATATCAAAAAAAAAATTCTAAGGAAGGCAAGGAAAAAGGGTTTCTTCCACCAGTAAAATTAAGCACAAAAATCTAAATCTTGAAAAAAAAAAATCACAAATCAGAATTTTCCCCCAGCTCTGTTACAGCCTACCATACCCGCTAAAATCCTTTGGTGGTTTCCCATTGCTTCATAAAGCCTTTCGGTCATCAAATAGTTGGATGATGTGAGTACTTGAATGTTGTCTCATTCATGATCTTTATTTAAATATTCAGCCTGCCTTGTTAGGGTCAGTCCTGTGTGTTGATATTCGCCTTTTGCACCTCAGATTTTGTTTTTGTTTTTTGTTTTTTTTTGCAAAGTAGTTTTTCTTGAAGCATTTGCAATAAACGTGTTATTAATGATAAGAAATGCAATGGGTGCACAAAGGCATAGAAGAACATGGCTCTGGATCATTATCTAGGACCATCACTCTAGTTCTAGACTCCTGGGATAGTGACTTCATTCTCTGTGTGTCAGTTTCCTAATCTGCAAAGTACATAAAGCAGGGCCTCCCTGGTAGTGCAAGGGGTTAAGATGCAACCTACGAAGCTGTCTGCAGGCACTGCAGCATGAGTTCAATCCCCGGCCAGGGAGCTACCCACATGGCACAGCAGACCTCTACTGACTCACCCGCTGCTCCCCTCAGCAGTGTAGTTCAGTCAATCTGCCTGTTCTGTTCCTCACTCTGTCTCTAGTGAATCCTTTCACTCCCTGCACCCCTGGCCTGTACCCCAGCTCTTGTATGCATAAATAAATAAATCTTTAAAAAAAATACAAAGTACCTACAGCAGCACCCATCCTACAGTTTGGTTAGGAGGATAATACAAATGTTTGTAAAGGACTCAACAGAATATTCTTAGACAAGTCTTTGATAAGGCAGCATTTAAAAAAGTGTGTATATCTATATCTATACATATATATGTCTGTATTATCCTATTAACAGATAATTCATGATTGTTCTAACTTGTTTAGTTCTCCAGACACAAAATGTAAATATTTACTTCTTGTAACTATATAAAAGAAATAACATGACAATATTTCCTTTAGCTAGCTTCCAATCATTTAAGTTCTTCTCTTCAAAATATCTATATAATCAAACTGTTGATCAATGTCTTACAATATTAGCACCATTTTAGTTTCTGAAATCTATTTGAATTATACAACCTCAGAGTGGGACTAGACTTTAGCAATCATCTTGTCTAAATGCTCTTCTGAATTACTTGGCAAGTTTCACATCTTTGAAGAGACATATGTAGTAAATATGCATATTACTCCACAAAACAGTAAGCCAATGTGACATTTCCTTATTTTTTAAATCAAATTAAATCTGACCCTGAGCCTGCATTTTACCAAACTGGAAGAAAATTCAATTTGAGTCATTACTGGGTCTCTTCCTGCCAAAATTGTACAAAGATAATAGGTGGAATGTTTCAAAACCACGCAGAATATTTAGGCAAGCGCATATGACATTTATTCTACACTAGTTACCACGGAATTGCTCACTGTCAAGCCCATGTAGTCTCTTTAATTTAGACAATTCTGCCACTTCAGTGTTCAGGATGGGCACACAATACAAAGTACTCAGCCTCCCTAAACAAGCCATGTAACTGTGCCTTTTGAGGTCTGACTCCTCACCCAGAATGTTGTGAAGAAGTGGGGCAAATGTGCCTGTTATTTAAAAATTATAAAATAAATCTTAAAAAAAGATAATACCCATATATTCTTATCCTTTCTGCATCAGAATACCTAAAAGGAAATCAGGCTTTTGAAAGTGGAAGGCAGTCAGGAGTTTGTCTTCAGTTCTTTCTGCTCTCTAGTCAGCAGCAGAAGTCTTCTCTAAGACAAGAGAGCATAAGGACCAGCTACTTATGAAATTAGGAGGGAGAAAAAGATAGAAAACCAAAATCAAAAGGGGCTGTTATTCTAAGTGTATGTAAAGAAAAATAACATGCTAACTCTGTCACAATAATGTATCTTGTCACCCTGTGAGTACTGAAAAGTCGTAGCCCTTGACCCTAGGAGTTTGCAATCTGAGAGTGAAAGAAAGAACAGTCCCTGCTAGCAGTAAAATTAAGCAATAAAATACAGCACGAGGTAGATGTTGCAAGTGAATCAGTTTCAGAATGCTGTGAGAGCTCATAGGTGGTAGAGGGATTTTCAGCTGATTTCAGCAAGAAGAAATGAAGGACTCAGGGGAGAGAATTTCACAAGCCAAGGTGAAAAGTGAAAGAACCCATTTCCAGAATGGTGAAAGAATCTAGCTGGATTTTTTTTTTGGTAGCAACAGCAGGGAGAATGGGAGCCTTGGGGCCTGAATCAGTAGTCAGAGAAGTGCTAAGTAGCTGAGATCAGCCCTATTGGAAGGGTGGTGGGGTAGCAAAGATGAGGGACATGCCAACATGTCTCATGTGAAACAGTGAGGGACGAGGGGAAAACAAATGTGGTTTTTGAATTGACTCTTTGAGAATGGGGTACCACACCTTGGACATGTCTGTAAGTGTTGGTTGTGGGTGGGGATGTGAGGGAGGAAATGACAGAAATGTAAAGTAGATTTCAGACTGGAAAAGAAGGCCTGTGGTTTGAGAGATTGGGGATCTGGCTATGGGTTTCAATTACTTTTTTTAAAGACATTCCAGTACTCTCTGAGGTTCTTGAGAATAAGGGTTCTTATTCCTCTTGGTACTTGCAGATAAATTTTGGAGGTGGTAATCTTTAAAGCTAGGAATGTTATCAAGGGGAGGGGAGAAGAAAGGAAAAAAATGAGACAAGAGAAAACAGACAGGGGACAGGAGGAGAGTTTAGAGAGGGCCTCGCCACGGAGTGGTCAGTTACGATCCTCAAATAATGGAGAAAGATCTGTAGGGGAAAAGACTGAAAAAAGCCCCAAATTTTGACATTAGAAAACTCCTTGGAATGAGGTATTGGATATAAGGCAGAGACCCCAGGAGGAGAGTTTAGGGAGTAGGAGGGAATTAAATCAGTTAGCAGGCTCAGTCCAGTGAATGGCGGCCTTGAAATGGTGCTGGTCCCTCCGGGTACTGTCATATACATACCAAGCCCCTCAATAATTTGGCAGTTCTGGGGTTCTACTGGCTCCACTTCTCTATATGCATAAGCTTTTCGTCTGTAAAAGATAAAACCACAGCGGGTTAATGAGTAATATCTAAAATCAATATCAAAGCATGGCCTTTAATCACTTTTATATTCGTCAACTCTTCTTCACTTATGAATTTAGCATACTGATGATGATTGATATTACAGATAAGTAGGCATCTCCTTTTATATATTTACACACATGGACATTTATGGGGGTAATTCACCTATATCAGCCAGTGATTGTAAAAGGACTAAAATGCAATTATACATGGACATTTTGCTGCCCCAATCAGTGACACTATTTAACAGCACGAATAGCTAAGTGTTATTGTTAAATGTACAAAATACGGTATTATTTAATTTCTGAAAGCATTGTCCATTATAAAGCTGCCCTTTCTTCCTTAATCCCATGTAGTCTTGCCTTTTGACCCTAACCCCCAATCTGCTTTCCCCAAATCCAATAGGGTCAGTTAAACCATGTAGCTTTTGCTTTAACTTTATTAGTGCTTACATTTTTATGCTGACTTACTTTACAAGTATGTAAATCCATTAAACTGACTACAATTTCAACTACTAGGCAAATTATTTTTCAATATAGTGTTCTTGTTTCCACAGTGAAACATTATCCTAAATACCTGGGATAATTTTTAATTTTTGTTAAACTATATTCAGACGCTACTTAGTCATTTCTCACTGTCGCTTTAAAAAACATGCCTTAGATCTACTTTATAATTATCATTTTTAATGATTTTCTCACTGGGGTGCACTGGGACCAAATGTAACAAAAAACACACTCAAGCTGGAAAGTATTAGCGAAAGGGTCAGGCTCCCCAGCAGATTCTAGCCGTGAACCTCTGAGGAGACCAGCTCTACTTAGAGAAATTAAAAAACAAAGCATCCCAAAGATAATGCAAGATCCACTGAGAGACGAACATCACCACCTATATAAATATAAATATAAATATAACTTAAATATAACTCCTTTCCTTAAATATTTCTGGGGTGGCATCAGCTCCACTAGATGTTATATTTTGAAAGGTGTGATACCTGCAAGCTGCCAGTTTCTACCTTCATTTCCCCACTTTCTGGCTAGGTCTTGCAATCTGGGGGTGACTTCTGTAATCCAATACTCCTCTCCCGTTACCTTGTTTTGGGCAAGTTGCCGAGTGAGTCATAAACATCCTGATCCTCTCCCTTGAGCCCAGTGCTCCCAACAGAGTTGGATTTTCCAAGAGCAGAAGGTGGAGGAAGACCTAGAAATTGGGAGTGGGGACGCATTTCTTTCAAAAAATAAATGGGGGCATTTCTGCCCTACCTTCTCGGGAAAAGCAATCAGTCAGTTCACTTTTCACTTCAGTGCTCTTCAAGGGGAGTTTGCTGGGTGGGACTGAAAGTGAGGTTGCAAAGCTGCTCATTCCTATCCGCTAAGAGGGTGGCACCGGGCAGTTCTTGATCTAACTTGGAAAAGGAGAGAAGAGTAGTGAGGACGCCCCCATCAAGATGCCAACTCACCGAAACGCCACTAGCCTCTCCCCGAATAGGGCCAGGCTGGCCCCCAGCAGGGCCAGCGCCACCAGTTTCCCCATAGCCTCGGCTTCCCCGCGACGACTTAGCCGGCGCCGCCGAGCGCTCGCGGAGGGCACGGCAGAGCGGCTCCCGGCTGCGCCCTGTGATTGGCGCCCGCCCTGCGCGCAGGCACCTCGGGAGCAGGTGCGCTGCCAGGACGCCGCGACTCTGCCTGGGGGGTGTCCTGGCCCCGCCCCGCCGCCCAGGGTTCAAGGTCCCCTTTTAGCGCTAGTTCAGAGTAACTTAAGCGCTGGATCCCTCCCCCGTCCACCTGCAAGGCTCAACTTATAGAGAGCGAGCCTGGAGCGGTGGGTTAAGGTCTGGTGATTTCTTGGCAGTTGCGCGAAGAACTCAGCAGCCGCCTTCGTGGGTGGTGGAGGGAGTTTGACGCTAGAAGCAGCGCTGGATTCTATCTCGGCTTCTCAGACGGACTGAAGGGGCGAGACAGACCAGGGAGTTAGAGTTTCGAGCCACAATTTCGCTTTCTGGCAAAGCAAGACGTGAGATGAGAGGGAAGGTTACTTCGGAGACCCCAGGAAGTGTGATAAACAAAGATAATCAAAGAGAAATGTTTCTCCAGATAATCAAAGACTGGGTGAATTGTAAATATCACTATCGCTATCGTGGATGGGATGAAGAACATTCAGGAGAAGGGAAAGAAATAAGAGTATGAAACAGGAAGATGAGCAGAATGAGGGGAAGGGATAAAGTTTCTTTGGGAGGCAGAACTCCGAAAGTCTCCTTGATCCTTCTCTGGTTCTTGAACTCCCGCCAGGTGAGGAATGCACTGTCCAGCTTGGAGGGAAAGGGACTGGGGTGGGGGCAGACTTCAGGAGTTTGGGTAGAGCAAAGTAGCAGCTTCAAGCATCATCAGTTTTCATTTACCAACAAGTTAGAAAAGGAATAATATTTATATTGAGTTCAACGGAGTTTACATTTGTGGAAAGAACAGTGCCTCCTTGATCTGGAAATATTAAGAAAATTAAAGGTGGTTCTTGGGATGTGGGATCCATGATTGTAGTATGAATGCATAATTATGGCATGAAACATGAAGCCTGTCCATTAGGCAACACTGCTGTGGACCTGGTGTTATGCTTAGAACTTCACCTGTGTAAATTAACTTATAATTCTTAGGATAACCTCTGAGGTAGGTAACATTCCAATTTTATAGGTGAGAAAACTGGTACAGAGTGGCTGTGTAATTTTCCCTAGGTCACACAGTTGAGGAGTGGTAGAGTCAGGCAGTTTGGGTCCAGAACTGGTGCCCTCATTGTGTGGTCTCTATTAAAGTTGTGGAAAAAAGGATTATTCTACAGCAACATGGGAACATCTAAAGTTGTATTAATAAAATATTTGTTTTTAAGATCATTTATTTTAAAATAATTCAAGCAGTGGAGGAATTCAACTCTGTTTTTATATAGGACTCAGAAACAGAGAAATGAAGGGAGATGTGCTCCCAAAATTTAGGGGTCAGGAGACATAGTATAGGCATGCGTGCAGGGTTTGGGGCTCAAGTTGTCCCGGTATGAGTCCAACTTGACTACTGTGTTCACCTTTTTAACTCTGCAGATTGTTCTTTAAAAGAGCATCTGCCTCATAAGTGACAAAGTAAAATGTTAGGATGAATGTGAAGTGTTCGATACTGTGCTTGCTACATTGTAAGAAGTCAATAACCATTAGCTATCATTTAAACCTGAACCTCCATCTGAGGTTTTTGTTTCATTATGGAGAGAGATTCCTATCCTATTGATCACCGAGTCTCCCAGTGCCAGCCACAGAACTTTGTACTTAATAGTTGCTCTGTAAGTATAGATTAGATGGAAGAATGCAAGTTGTGAACTTGGGAAAATGAAATTTGGAAGAATAAAAAGAAATAGATGATGAATAGTGATATTGTATTAGGCACTTTACATGTTTTTTGCATTTTACTTCTTATTAAATTTACTTTAAAAATAAGCAAAATAATGCTTAAGAGATGTTATGTAATAACTCACTTCAGGTTACATAACTAAGAAGTGTCAGATTCCACTTGGACTCAAGGTCAAGTATATATTCCTTACCACTGTATTTTCTGCCTCCCAGCATACCATGAAGAGGAGATTAAAAAAAAGTTGAGCAATTGATTAAGGTGCCATGTTATCTATAAATTGCTTAAAGTTTCTTCATTTGGGGCAGAGCTTGTGTTCTCTCTCAATCTATCTCTCTATTTCTCTCTCTCTCTCTCTCTGTGTGTGTGTGTGTGTGTACATGTGTACATTAACGTGAAATCTTAGAAGTAGCTAGTTGTCATTTACATTCCATAGTCAGTAATTCAAATAACCAACCTGGTTAGTATTAAAGAATTTTAAACTTTCAAAACCACTATAGCAAGTATCATAGTCTAAAGCCACATCTGGAGATCTTATTCTTTAACTTTAGATATTAAAAAGAATAATTCATGATGGAGACAGTTTTCTTCAAAACATGTGGATTACCAACACATAATTGTGTACGTGGTTCCAAGTCTGTCTGGATTAAGAGCGAAAGGAAACCAGCATCTTCACACCAAGAGTGGGATCCTGGATTATAAACAGCAAATATTAATTTCTCACAGATCTGGAAAGTGGAAAGTCCAAGTCAAGGAACAAGTAGACCCAATATTTGGTGAGATCCACTTCCTAGACTGCCACTAATCCTGTTCATAGACCCCCACCAGTATCATCTAATCAATACCCAAAGACCTCTACCTAGTAATACAGTCACATTAGGGATTAGAACTTGAACATGAACTTGCAGGTGACACAAACCTTCAGGTCATTTCATTGGCCCTGGAACAGTACCATGGACTGTGTCTGTGCTATTGACCAAGAAGGATTCTACTTGATTTGAGGTGGCTGAATCCTCCTTCTAGAACTTTGTCTTATACTAACCCTTTAGTTACGTTCTTGTAGAACTACAGAGCTGTTGAAATATAGAGATAGATATTCAACTTCTCTGAGTTTATTGAACAAATCATAGCATGATTTTCATGCCTTTCTGGTAATAAGCATTTGTATATGACAGACTTGGGTTTGAGCTTTGTTCTTATTGGACCGTATTATCCCACAGTGAGATTGTGGATAAAGTAACTGCTTGTGCTCATCCACAGCTAATCTAATCTTTGAAGGCTACTAATTGTCACTCTGTAAAAGACCCTGACAAGAGACAAAATTGACTTGGTCCAGAGACTACCGAGTAACTTAGTGTCATAAAAGGTGCTTGTTGTTATTGATAGATCAGGGCAAATTAATTCAAAATCTTGAGGTCCATAAATCACCTATTGCTTCTAGGTTTTTCTTTTCTTACATGTACAGTAGAATTTTTTTCAAATAGCTAATATGGATCAATGGAGTATTGTCAAAATAATAAGTAATGCAAGACAATATATAAATCTAGTGAATCCAATACCTTTAATAATAAAAATGCTGTTGGGCCTCCCTGGTGGAGTAGGGGTTAAAGTCTTAGCACTATCAAGCTATTGCCATCCACTAAGACATGAGTTCGATCCCCCCCACAGGGAGCTAACCCACATGGCACAGCAGACCTCTCTTGTCTCCCTGTGGCTGCTCCCCTCAGCAGAGTTTTTCAGTAGATCCATCTGTTCTGCCTCCCACTCTGTCTCCAGTGAATCTTCTCACCCCCTGCACCACCTCTGGTCTATACCCCGGTTCTTATATGCATAAATAAATAAAAATAAATCTTTTTTAAAAATGCTGTTCAGGGGATACACAATGCACATATTATAATCCTATTGTATAAAAAGTAGCAGAATTATATGTTGTGTACATGTCTATATGTGTGTGCATATGTGAGTTGTATGTGTTTGTGTATATACTCAAATAATCTGGACAAACTGAAAAGTAGTTACAATTGGGAGACTGGGGTGAGATGGGGAGGTCAGTGACTATGGAAGGGCCTTTGCTTTTTTTGTATGACCTCCTATGAGTTCTGAAAATTTTAAAGCATGTATCTTTACCGTGTGTGTAATCATACAATTTTAAATTTACAATGATCATTTGTGTCATGAATCTTTTCCGGGAGAAGAGGTAGTGATAGAGGGAAAACAGCAGATCAAAAGTGATTTATCTCAGTAAATCTGTTTTCAAAAAGAGAATATGTATTTTAGAACATTCAGAAATGTCCTAAACTATAGGGGCCAACTTGAAAAGCCTGGGTATAGATGACTGCCTATCACTGATATGTGTCTTGAGCTGCTTGGAGGAGAAAAAAGCTGGATGACCACTGATTTACATCATTTTACAACTATGATATACTTGAATTTAAATAACATTCTTAATTTCACTCTGGATGAGACTAACCATGAAGCCACAAATTGAATACCTGCTACTTTGTTCAGTTACTTCCTGCAGCCCAGCATGGGGAAGGCCTACACCACTCATGACTTCATGTGCAGCCTGTGATGTGCTGGGAATCACCTTTGCTGAATGTATTTAGCAGCAGAGAATACCAGACTGAGATTGCACTATGCAAGTACCAAGAGAATGTGGGGTGGGGGGGAGAAATAGGGGAGGTCATACTTTGCCAGGAAGAGATTTTCTACAATAATCTTCTACCTTAATTCTCTTCAGAGGCTCTCTCAGTGATAATCTATAAATCCTCAGCGCCTCTAGATTGGATAACAACTTGAGGTAGATCCAAAATAGTACCAATTATTTGATTCAACAGGGGCTTATCAAACTGTGGTCTGGAAACAGTAATAGTTAA